CTCACTCTCTGTCTGCCCCCCCCATCTCTCTCCCCCCCCTCTCTCTCTGTCTCCCCCCCCTCTCTCTCTCTGTCTCCCCCCCTCTCTCTCTCTGTCTCTCTCTCTCTATCTCCCCCCCTCTCTCTCTCCCCTCTTGCTCCCCCCCCCTCTCTCTGCCCCCCCCCTTTACTCTCTCACTCTCTTGATTGGAAGTGGATAGAAGAAAAAGATTGAGGGAGCAAGAGATATGCAGTTCTGCTCTCTCTCTCTCTGCCCCCCACCCCTCTCTCTCTCTGCCCTCCCCCCTCCTCTCTCTCTCTCTCTCTCTCTGTCTCCCCCCCTCTCTCTCTCTCTGCCCACCCCCCCTCTCTTGAGTGGAAAGTAAGTGGATAGAAGAAAAAGATTGAGGGAGGAAGATATATGCAATTCTGTTCTCTCTCTCTCTCTCAGGGGCTTCACCCCCCAGATACTTATCCTATGACCTTACTTCCCTACTGGGGGCTCTGCTCTCATGTACCATGTGGCTAATGCCACATGGTACTTCTTTTCTTCATCTCTGATATTATTTTTTGCCTCTGCAGATTATTTCATGTTTCTGATTGTAGTTTTCCCTTCGTTTATGTCATTGTCTTTACATTTTCTTATAAATGTAAACCAAATAATTAATTGATACATAATGCTCTTCTCAACTTGTGAAGGATATAGAATAGGTGAAAAGTATTTTAATCTTGTTCATCCTTTCCAATACAGGCACAATTTACATTATACCATAAGGCTGTGTGAAACTGAAAATATGCCATCTTCACTGTGTGATGTTTAATTCAAATATCTACTACTGCTCTTTGAGCAACTTTTAAATATAGGACATCTGTCAGTCTATGGCAATCGACATGGACTCTGCCTTTTCGGCACTCCGGCAAAAGCCAACACACCTCCGTTGCATATTTGGCAAAACCCAGCTGGAACAATATGTAGTATAAGGTTCTTCTATGGCAATGCATGTGCAAATGTTTCCCATGGCTGCTATACGTTAAAGAAAAGAGAAGATACCCCAATTTTGGCTGAGTCGCTCATATTGTTTACTTTGCGAGGATGAATTCTAGATGCATATACTACTACTGAGGTCCAGAGGGGATAGCCCCCTGGCTAGGTATATATGTTACCACAGGGGTGCAGGGGTATTGCCCCCTGGCAAGGGAATATATACCACAGTGTTAAGTTAGGTTAGGACGTTTTGTTTAACAACCATGGGGGTCCTGTTTTACCCCATAATTTCCCTGATATACTTCATGCCCTCCCCTGCTACCAGAATTATCAAATCAAGATTGTTGATGGAGATGGTGATCATATCTACTCAATGATTCATTTGCACAAGGAACAATGCCTAGAATTGTTGAAAGCAGTGGAATTCATGCAGAAAAATATTAAAATCGTTTCGAAAGTAACCCACTAAACTCTTCTACATATTGACTGGGGGGGGGGTGAAATTCTTGCTTTGTATTGTTCTATTATTTCATGTAGTGTTATTACCCAACTCTGCCACTACCTTATGCTACATATTAACCCATATGTATATATGGAAAATATTTGGTGCCCTTTCGATGACCGTGACAAGACAGCCTAATCAAGCGCCTGAGCCAGTACAGGTGAAATTATAAACTTAAAATTACTTCGGCTGGTTAACTATTGCTCTGTTGTAAGTGTTGCTAATGGTTAATACCTTTTAAATACTTGTTTCAGGTCTTATCCGAAATTTATAAAGAAAATACAGTACCTGATTTGACAGAGATTAGGCTTACTTTTTCGAAAGCTGATCTGTCAGCGGTGTTGTGATACACGTTTTGCAACTGCGCTCCGTCGTGTTCGTCGTTTACTATCCTTTGCTGCGATTAATTTTCTGTTTTTATCTGTTTACAGTAATGAGAAACAAATGAAGATTTTTTTTTTACATCACATCTATTTAACAATAACTGATATAAATGAAAATAATGATGATGACATCATCATCATTATATTAATACTTTTTATTATCATTATTATTATCATTATGTGCATATTTGTTATTAATGTTATGTCAATATTGTATGGAAAATTTCATTCATTCTTCTGTTGATATATTCAATGACTTTTATTAACAACGTCATAAAATTGTATATGTGGCATGCTGATAGCCTTTTGATTTGTTCATTTCCACATGTTCTGGGTTTGTTTTGTTTTGATAGCGCGTATCAGTGTCAGAGTCGCCAATCGGAAGTGTGTGTCGCACTTTTAGGAGCACTTTATATGTATCTAGATGTAAACATTATGCTTTGTAAAGACGTTAAGGTTGATATGTTGATTTGAAATGTTTCTTGTGGAAGATGTTTGAGTTTCAGGCTTGACACTTAGTAGAATTATTGTTGCGGATTAACAATACTGCTCAGACTTTAGCGCTTGTTTAACAGTCGATTTTTAAGACGTGAACGGTCCAGCCTCGGCCGAGAAAGAAGAATTCTTCCTCTGGTTAATTTAATTTTAATACGTTTTAGTTTTCCTTTTGCCGTATCGTCGTCTCAGTTTTCCTTTCGCCGATTCGAGATCAGGACAGAATAACGATATAGGTCTAAATCCCGATTCCCAATCGTGCGCTTCAAACTACATCACTTTGCGCGGCAAGACTTCGTACATTACGAACGCGACGACCCGGTTTTGCTGGAACTTGGGTCACAATTTGATGATGTTAAATAATGATCAGTTTATTTTATGAAATTCCTTCTAACCCTCTTTTTAGCATGATTAATTTTAGTACCATTATTTCCTATTAAGAAAATAAAGGAAAACATGCACGATACCTTTTTTTTTTATTATAAACGTTGAAATTTATTGGACAAGACAAGCAATAAGACAAGCCAAATATGCTTAGACAGTCGATTGGGAAAAAAATATATATATATATATGAGCTTCACGTGAATTTCCCCGCTAATCCTTTGCCCGTTGTTGTTGAGGGGGGAGGGCGGAGACGGAGACTGAGTCCCAATGTGTGGGATTACCTTACCTTGGACCTTAGCCCTCGCGTCAGCTATTTTTGCATGACCTTTTCTTTTCCCCCTTTCCGTTTTCATCTGTTATCCATCCCCTTACTAATACCCCCTCCTTGGTATTTGCCGTCTATCCATTTCGAATCATCCACTCAGGTCCTTACACAACCTTTAGAATGAACCTCTCCACTCCATCTCCTACTGCACAGTCTTCTTATTGTCTACCCCCACACCCTTATTACTACACTTCATCCATTTTGTTCTCCCAATACAACCCCATCTTCCTTCTGCCCTCGTCCTTCTACTGCTTCCACTTCTGCAAACCTTTTGAGTACCTTTTGGCCCCAGCTGAGTGGGATCGATTCTTTGTGATTCCCTCTCACAGCCCCTTGCTCTGGCAATATCCTTCTTTTCTTACAATGTCTCCAAAAAAGAAAAGGTAAAATTTCTTTTCACAGTCGTTCCGATCGTTCACGCCTTGTCACAGATACATTTGAATCCCAAGCTCGTGCACTACCTACCCTGACTGACCTCACTGTCAAGTTTATTCCTGCCCAGCCTCACTCCTCCCTTAATACTTGTACTGGAACTGTTTCCCTCTCTCCGACTGATTGTCCTGTCTACGACAAGGAGTGGTAATACTGTGTAAAAGACTTGCTAGCATGTCTTGTCGACTATGATGCAGTGGCAGTCCAGTACTACACTCTTCCTCCCAGAGTCCAACCTAAGTCCTACACCATTATCGCCAAGATTAGCCTCTATATACATGACCTCTCCTCTCCCATGAAGTTTATATTGCCCTGTCCGGCCATATCGATCTCTTCCCCGTCAATGTCACATATGTTGACGTTTGTGGTTACCCAACCAAACACTATCGCTCCCCAGCCCGCTTCCCTCTATATTACCCTACCTGGTCACGACTGTTCAAATTGCTCTGTTTAGTCACGCACATGTGCTAATTGTGGTGGCTCCCATAATGTATCTTATGGAAACTGCCCTGCCTACAAGCTCAAATCTGAGGTAGCCTTTCCCAGATCCAAATTAGGCCTCACTCTACATGAGGCCAGAGAAGAAGCACGCCGACGAGCTTTTTCTCTTTCTACTTATTCCTAAACTGTACTTCGCTCTGCTCCCCTCCCATCTTCTCAGGAAGTCTCAGCATCTCCCCTAGTATCTTTTCTGTCTACCCCAAACCATCCTATCCCTACTACCTCTCTCTCCCAGTCAATTTTTTTTCCAGTCTAAATCCAGATATTCAAATCTTTACCATTTTCCCGGTGTCTACTTTCTCACTCTAACTGTCGCACAAGACAATATAAACGTTCGACTCCATCTTCTACCACATCCTCTCCTACACCCACCTTTCCCTCTGCTCCTCGAACATGTATTTCCTTTTCTCCTCCACATAAGAAAACCTTTGTTTCTCTGACCTCTCTGCCCAACTCTCCTCCAGAAACCCTCAAAGACATCCTACAGTTCCTAAATATGACCCAAGAGAATGCTCCACTCCCTCATCCACCCTCCAGTCCCTTAATTCCTATTCGCTCTATATTCAAAGTATTATCCATCCTCCCTCTCCTCAAGTTCCCCCTACCCCTCTTCCTCTCACTCACCCAAAAATACCCCATCTTCTCCACCTCCATGTACATCATCATTCCCTCTTCCTTCTCCTTTATCCTTACCACTCCCACCTAGATGATCACGTGACTTCTTTATGACACAACAATGTCCTCCGGATCCCTCCCCTTGTGACATTATTCCCGATACTTCACCACCTTCCCCTGTTCCCTTATTTCATCCTCTAGATTCTTCTACTTCTACAATTACCATTTCTTACCGCATTACCCTTTGAATGCTTCATAATAGCTCTCTTGCAGTTTCCCTCATACAATGTTACTCTCCCTTTCTCAGACACCTACTCTCAATTTGATCTGATCGCCCTATACCTATAACTCTATCCCTTTTACAAATACCTACCGTATTCCATTTGCTCCCCCCTCTTTACCCTTTTCACAACCATTCTGTTGCACAGCGTTCTACAACTTCTGAAATCTAACACATCTTATTCTGATCGCTAAATCATTTCCAACCTTTTCGCCACAGTACTTTACCATAGTGCTATATGACCTAGCACATTTATTTCTAATAACCGTTAATGATTAACCATTCACGTTAATTTGATTATCATTAATGAGTTTAGTTGGAATCATTCATGAGAATTCAATTACATAGTTTACCTAGAATTCAATTACATAGTTTACCTAGAATTCAATTACATAGTTTACCTAGAATTCAATTACATAGTTTACCCAGTGTGTGTGTGCGTGTGTGTATTGATACATATGCATATAACTGTTTGTAGTATATATATATTGATACATCTGCGACTTTAACAGGCGGACGAAGACAAAGGCAAAAATGAAAATCTTTCCTTTCTCTCATGCATGGATGATGCAACACAAAAAAAGGATACACAATACACGTGGCGACACAATTAATCGTCCAAGAGCACATTGGTACGGGGTTCACTTCACTTAGTATTGCCCCAAACTTCACAGAACTATAAATGTATCTGTGTCCTTAATAACGAACAACACAGTTCCGGCAGCTGTTGTGGTCGGTCCCTGTCTCAGAAATTGTGTGTGCTCACAACTCTGTAAGTAGTGTATCAAGGTTTGTGCCCACGGCGGGGCTTCGATAAAGTCAGGGTGGGGGGAGTGTATACCCTTTACAAGTAGTTGTTCTTTGAGCTGATAGTGTATCAACACCCTGACTGTGTGAGGAAGGAATTCTTTTCAAAAAGCTTGTGATCTTGCTCTAGGCGTCTGAGTACTTTTTGTCTCAGACTTGTGTTCCTTATTTTTTTCTTTGTGGCAATCAGGGCGATAGAAGCATAGTCCACGATGGGCCAGACGGCATGTACATAGAATGCTCTTAGTACTTTATACCTGGCTGCTATGTGTCTCCCAGTAATTACTTTCATGGCAGACAGTTTTGCTTTGGTTCGGTCAACCAGGTATTGGACCGCCTTGAACATTGTATGTAAGAGCCATGGCTTTTGATTTGAGCGCAGAGATCTTTAGTTGTGTCCTACAACACTCCTCAGATACAAGGTTCAGACAATGCTGGGCTTTACTTAGGCAGTGTGGTCCAATGGAGATGATTACAAAATCGTCTGCATACGAGATGACCTTGCACCCCACAGGGGGATGTATGTTTAGGATGTTGAATAGGGCTGGACTGAGGACGCTACCCTGTGGCATTCCATTTTCTAATGGTATGTGCTGTGATAGGTGACCTTGTAATCTGACTCTGGCTGTTCTGTTCCTGGAATAGTCACCTATCCAAGCCAAGAGCTTTCCTCTGATTCCCTTCTGGATCAGGGTCTCCTGAATAGTAAGAGAACTTGCTAATTCAAAGGTCTTCTCCAGGTCTAGGAATACTACCACACAGGGGCGTCACTAGGATTGACAGATAGAGGGGGCTTATCCCCAGAAGGGACGTAGTCAATGCGCGCGCCGAAAAAATTTCAGTGCCTGTTGAACTCTCTTCCCTCTTCTCCACCATCATCTGCTTTTTTCGATGCTACTGATCTGATCTGACTACAATGTACTGTACACTTTAATTTTGTTGAGCTTTATGTATTTACTATGATGCTTAGGCATAATTACAATAATGTTACTTGTTACACTTGTGATAGGTAAGAATACAATACCTTACAGTACTTCATGCTGTCTTGTCCTGTACTTTATTGTTTTTCCTGTCTTTGTTCACACATGGGACAGTGAGAAACGTAATTTTGATTCATTTGCATGTCTAGTATGTGAATAAAGTGACACTAAAACTGACTTAGACTACGATGCATTTTGCCTTGGACTCCAAAGTTTAATCCAAAATATAAGTGGTTATATATGGACAGTACAACATCATCATAACAAATAAGGATATCCTTGAGATTTTTTCACAGTATACAAGCTTTAACTGTTTTAACGTAAATAGCAGTGATGTGAAATGGAACATAGGAGGTGTTAAATCAACAATTAAAAGACAAAATAACTGTAAATGAAAACTATCCAGGAGGTAATAGAACTACCTGAGTAATACAGACACTCAACTACCCATTGCCATCACTGTTGTGACATGGGTCAGTATGCCCAGTTGAACGGCCTTGGCCAAACTTTCTCTCTACTTTGTGGGTGGAAGCATCAAAGAGTGCCTTCTGTTTTTCAGAGTGGCAAAACGGTCTATGACTTTGCTGTCACTCAGCTGACTTAGTATGCCATTTTCAATAGCCATGACTGCGAGGTTATGGAGCCTTCTCTGCCCCGTTGTTTGACGCAGCCATGTGTACAACCGACGCAGTGCACTGAAGGACCTTTCACATGAGCAGCTACTTACATGCACAGTTGGAGCAACTTGGAGGACCTCTTTCAGAGAGGGAAACATGTCTGTGTTTAGAAGGTTGTACACAGCTAGCATGTCTTGGGATGGATTCCCAGCATCTGCTTTGCGAGCAATGAAGTTTCTGGCAACAAGGACCTGCCCTGTTTTCAGGTCAGTGTTATAGTGCCCAGCAAGTTCTTTCAGGTTCACTTCATTCAAGAAGGTCTCAGATTTAGGGCTGCATGCCTGTATGCCTTTTAGGAGTCCTGTATCTACACTGGCAAATCTTTCATCAAGCTCAGCAACCATCTATCCAAACAGGGGAAAACAATTCTGTTTTCAGGACCTCCGAACTCACTAACTCAGTGCGTGAACCTAAGGTTGTCTCACACAAAAAATCTTCCATTTTTCTCTGTTTCTGCCTTTTCTTGGCATGTAGTTCTGGAATGCTGTGTGTGAGGCAGAGTGCCTTGGTTCTCTCAAACATTTCGGTGGCAAATGCATCTGTGCGTTTACTTTTGAGAGTATCACACACAGCATCTTTGCAAATCAGAGCTTCTGCCAGGTCTAATGTCTCCTTCTGAAGGAGTTTGTGGAGTCCTTGAGTGATGGACAGAAGTGTCTGAAACATCAAGAAAGCATAGATGGTTGAGAACATTGATAGCTTTGCTTTGATTCCAATAGCCAAGGGAGACCCAGTGACAGAGAGACATTCAAATATGGCAGGTAAGGTCTGAAGCACTGCATTGATTGATTGCAGCCGACATGCCCAACGTGTGTTGGAAAGTTGTACAAGCTCTACTGCTGCCAACCCAAGCCTGGACTGAGCATCTTTGAACTTTGAATGGTGATTCACTAGAGAGGTGGTGCAAAAAGAATACACACTCTCCAACAAAGCAAATAGCTCCATAGCCTCCGTAACAGCCTTGCAAGTATGGCACAACACTAGGTTGAGCTCATGTGCATAGCAGTGTATATAGATAGCTTCAGGATGAAGCCTTCTAAAACGTGCCTGCACGCCTCCTATGGGTCCACTCATGACCGCGGCACCATCATAAGTCTGTGCCACACACTTGACATGAGCAAGGCCATTGATCTGGAGCTGCTCCTGTAGCTTGTCTGCAATGGACTGGGCATCAAAGGACATCAGTTCTGAAAGTGCTAGAAACCGTTCCTTTACCTCCCCCTCTGACACATACCTAACACAAACAGCCAGCTGCTCTGACCGACCATCTCTTGCCTCATCCGCCATGATGGAATACATTTTGGAGGGTGTGATCTCAAACACAATGACACTGGTCACTTCCTGAGCACAAGCACTCAACCATCTCATTCTGAGACACTGGTAAGGTGTACGTGGCATTTGATGGAGGATTGTGATTTTGAAGGAATGGATCAAATGTCATCAAAAGCTTCATGCAAGCCAGAAAGTTGCCTCTGTTTGTGCTCTCTGCACTTTCATCATGCCCACGAAAGGGTAGTCCCTGGGCCCCTAACATTGAGGTGACTGCAACAATTTGCTCTAGATAGTCCCTTCTCGCCACAATCTCATGTGCATTTGCAGACATCATCATCTGAACATCTCCCTGTTGGCTCGTTGCCTGGTAGCACTTCCATGCAACAACACTGTCCTTATGGGACTGTCATGTCATGCTTACTAAAGACAGACAAAGCTTTTTTCCAATTTCTACAACCACTGCTAACCAAAGCATCATGTTTAATGTTTTTGCCAAACACTCTACATAGGAAGCAGAAAGCAGCGTTGAGGTTGACTGAATACTCCAACCAAGTGTACTTAGCAAACCAGCTGTGGTGAAATGCCCTTTTCTGTGTACCAAAGCTGTCTTCTGGATAGCTATTCAGCTTCACCTGTCTGGGCCCTGTGTCTTTATCACCTAAATCACAAAGAGGAGCGGCAGCTTCTTGATCCTTTTCTTCCTCATGGCCTGCTTGTTCACCTCCTGCCTCTGTCTCAGTTTCTTCTACTTCTCTCTGCAGATCTATTTGCTCGACCACCTCTGAAACTGGATTCACTTCCTCAGTCTGACTTGTACTTGCCTGATGATCACTCTCATCCTCAGCCTCTCTTTCTGTCTCACCCTTCAAGGAGTTAAAAAAAATCATGATGAAACCCTGAGGTTTAATTTATATCATGTCAATTAAATATTATATCTTAGTATTACTAAAGCATAAAGGCTAGTTTATGACTGTTTTAATGAAATTAGCTTATTTTGTAATTGATTAATTAAACAATTTGTTGTGCAATGTATGTAACCTGGCATATCTTTGCATCACATGCAACGATTTAGTTTTATGCTATTGGCTAGGTCTACAGTGAGCTTGACCAGAAAGAAATATGAAATAAAAGAAATATGAAATAAGAGTATAAAGACATCAATAAGACACCTGCTAAGGGGAAAAACACCCGAGTTGAGTTTGGGATGCATAGTACACGGGTCATCACTTTGTTTTGTGTTCTCATCCAAGCTTGGTTAAATACTGTACATAGGCTACGGTGATTACATTCTTTTTGACTTTTCACTCGTCATTAGTGGGGATTGGTGCTGTGTTGTCTCTTGACATGCATTTAATGCTGATAGTGTGACATTTCTGACACTGA